TCGTATGGATTAATTTCTCCGATAAAAAAATAAAACAACAATTTTTTTATGAAAGTACAAAAATTGTGATCGAGTGAAGATAAAGGAAACTGGAATACGTGGTTAAAGCGTGTATATCTTTAGGGACCAACAAAACACTGCATAGTGTAACATTAAAATTTTGAACTATTTTATGTAAAGAAGTTGATACACATTCTACTGTTATCTCTCTCTATATATATTTCTGGTAGTGTTTAATACGAGATATAATCATTTAAACTAATCTTTTCACGACACGTTGCACATCATTTCATTCGCAGCACACGTGTAGTTTTGTAAGGAGTGCACAGAGCGTCGAGCTGAGTGTGTGCAGTAATTAAACTCGACATAACCGGCCGTCTGGAAGAGGACTTAAGTGAATTTCAGTGGGGGCAAGTTGCGACGCGAGTGAACGACGTTGCGGAAGTTCGGTCATTTCGCCAGCGATTCGTTTCGGAGTGCACACGGGCGCCGGGGGAAACTAACATTTCACTTCGGGAGAGATTACGGACTTCCAGAATTGCCGCAATAACGGCTGGAAGACAAATGCGAACATAAAGCTGCAACCTACTTTTCCGCCGCTGGTGTTGTTGGCTCCCACTATATTTCTGAAATAGCGCCGTGCTACGAATGAGTGATGTAGTGATCAAAAGGAAGGTCCGGCAGAGGAGGAAGTAAAGGATAGAATCAAGCTGTATATACGGCGAAAGTATTTACAAACTTCCTCCGTTTATTCAGAGAAAAAAAGCGAGCGCAACGGAAGAGTTTATTTTTACGAGTGTGCCTAGTACTATTTGTGAAGTGTAAAAATTAAATGTGCTGATTTTTTGCTAATATTTCACACGCGCCCCTGTAAAACTATTGTAAAATATTTTGATCTAAAGAGAAAATCATTAATACATTTATTCAAAGATAAAAAATACGTGTCGAGTTGAAACAACGTGAAGAAGTGAATGACAACTCTATCAAGTGTGTGCGAAAGAAGCAAATACTCTGTTCTGTAAACCAAAGTGAACCCAAAACGAACGTTTTAGGCGAATCTCTGTAGCAGCTCTTACTGCCACAGCGAGGCGTCTCGTTCAAATCAAGACCTTACCAGGGGTCATTGAGTGTCACTATATGTCGCAAGACTTCACTAGGCCTACGCAAGGCTTCGCTAGGCGCTACAAGACGTCGCCTAGTGTCCCAAGGCATCACTAGACGTCGCAAGGCGTAGCAAATCGTACCCAGGTTGCGCAAACCATCGCACGGCCTTACTAGCGTCGCACGGCCTCGCTTGGCGTCGCAAGACGTCGCACGGCCCGTTAACCGCCGCAAGGCGTCATACGACCTTGCTAGGGAATACAAGGTGTTACTAAGCATTACTACGCGTCGCTAGGTGTCGCAAGACCCCGCAAGGCATCGCCAAGCGTCGCACGGCCTCCCTAAGCGTCGCAAGGAGACATACGGCCTTGCTAGGGAATACAAGGCATTAATAAGCGTGTCGCTAGGTGTCGCAAGACGCCGCAAGGCGTCGCCAGGCGTCGCGCGGCCTCGCTAAGCGTCGCAAGGCGTCATACGGCCTTGCAAAGGGACACAAGGCATTACTAAGCATTACTA